GGAGAGAGAGAGAGAGGATGGACAAGGAACGGACGAGGAGAGAAACGCGCGGTCTCTTTCGTTGATTGGCTTCGAATTAAACGGGGCAGCTTGTAATCCTCCCATCGGCTTTAGATTCGCTCCGCTCGGTTATCGCTTTCCAAAATTAGCCGCTCGATTGCAATCTCGCGCGCCGACCGAAAACGCAAAGATTCCCCGTGTTTCCATCGGTTCGCTCTAATTTTCGTGCTCGAAATTAGAGGTCGAATGAAACCAGAGAGCTGAAACCAGAATGTATGTGTGTGTGTGTGTGTATGCATGCAACTCCTTGTATTAATCACGCAAAATTCCCTTACGCTCGTCTCGTATCCCTGACAGGAATATTACTCCGTCACTCGCACCGACGAGTTCCGCGTATCGCGATGTCCCTCCTCGATTGAGGAGGGCTGAGAGACGGTAGTTTGCGGTGGCGAACGTCGACTCTCTCTCTCTCTCTCTCTCTCTCTCAGGGGGGAAACAATACTCATCCGTGAAAGCCGATGCAAAACGCAACCCGCCGAGGTGGAACGTTTCGCCCTCTACGAGCTGCCCCCGGTTCAACCGTTCGAGGCGGTCGCCAACAAAAATCAAACGGTGACGGCGGAGTCCCTGGCGGCGGATATCGTGTTTTTCTTTTTGCAAAAAAAAAAAAAAAAAAAAAAAAAAAAAAACAAAAGGACAAAGTTGCAAAATGGGGGAAAATAGGAAATAGGACGAGATCGTATTTACCGATGGGAATATTCGCGTTTTGAAAAATTTTCGAAAGAAAGAAAACTCGTTACGCCGATTCGATATCGTGGTGCGACGAGAGACGAGAGATATCGGGAAGCGGTTAGTCGACGTTTGTACACGTTTGTTGTTTGTTCTTTTTTTTTTTTTTTTTTTTTCTTCTCTTTTTTCGTTTGCGCTTCGATAATTGCGACGAGAGCAATTGTACGGTTTTTTTCTTTTTCTTCTTCTTCTTAGCGGAAACGCGATGGAACAAAAGAACAAATTAGTTTTAATTTCCAACATCGACGTTGTTGAATGAACGTTGTCGCTTGATTGAATGAACGTTATTGATACGGCTACGTATTTATAGAACGTGCCAATGGGTCTCTTTCACGCGGCAATAATGTAAGTATATCGTTATAATACGATGTACACAACGCCACGGCCGTCTGAATTGATTTCGTATAATACAATCGGTATTCGAAATATAGTCGCATTGTCGTGCGAAAAGGGATTGTGGAACGCGTGAAATCGTGAAAAATTAAGAATATCGATTATTCAATGAAATGAAACATCGAAAAAAAACATCGCAATTAAAATATGTCCGAAACGACAAATTGGTATCGCGATTGGGATTCTCGAGTCGTGTTTAACTCTAAACACGGCACAAAGCGATCAAACTCGATGCTCACTCTTCCTGTCTTCCACTCTCATTTTCCTACTTCAATTTCTGGCGTTAATTGCGTGACGGGTAACTCGCCGCAAGTCCGTCCCTACGTGTTTCCCCCAGATCGTAACTACCACGCGGACTTACTACGACGAAAATTCA